CACAAGTGTCTGCCTGGTGTCAGTTACTGCTCCCAGACCAGACCTCCCAGATGGTCCTCACCCAGTCTCCTGGAATGTATGAAAGGTAGAAGCCAGTAATCTGTGTGTGTCTGTCTCTCTCTCTCCTGCTTACCCCCAAATCCACTACCTGCTGCCTCCGCTCGGCTGCCTCTGGGCTCCTATTTGGCTCCCGTCAGCGCCTCCTCACCTCAGGCGTTGACAGCATCACCATCCCTGGGGCTCACTCCCCCTCACTGTGCCAGTCCAGAACCTTGGGGTCTGGTTTGACCCTCAACTATCCTTTCTACCCCACATCTGCGCCATGACCCGCTCTGCCTCCCCCACCCCCGCAACATGGCCCGACTCCCCCACTGTCTCACACCACAGCCCCCGAGACCCTCACACACCCCTCATTACAGCCAGACTCCACTATGCAAACTCCCTCCTTGTCGGCCCCCAACCCCTCCCTCCACAGACTGCAGATCATCCCGAACTAACTCTGCAGCCCGTGTCCTCTCCCCCACCCCATCACCCCCATCCTCACCCCACCAGGCTCCCCACCCCACCCCATCCTCACCCCCACCAGGCTCCCCAACCCCATCACCCCATGTTCACCCCCACCAGGCTCAACGACCCCATCACCCCCATCCTCACCCCCACCAGGCTCCCCGACCCCATCACCCCATCCTCACCCCAACCAGGCTCCCCACCCATCACCCCCATCCTCACCCCCACCAGGCTCCCCGACCCCATCACCCCATCCTCACCCCCACCAGGCTCCCCGACCCCATCACCCCCATCCTCACCCCCACCAGGCTCCCCGACCCCATCACCCCATCCTCACCCCCACCAGGCTCCCCCACCCCATCACCCCCATCCTCACCCCCACCAGGCTCCCCGACCCCATCACCCCCATCCTCACCCCCACCAGGCTCCATGACCCCATCACCCCCATCCTCACCCCCACCAGGCTCTGTACCCCATCATCCCCATCCTCACCCCCACAAGGCTCCCCGACCCCATCACCCCATCCTCACCCCACCAGGCTCTGTGACCCATCACCCCCATCCTCACCCCACCAGGCTCCTGACCCCATCACCCCCATCTTCACCCACACCAGGCTCCCCGACCCCATCACACCAATCCTCACCCTCACCAGGGTCCCCACCCCATCACCCCATCCTCACCCCCACCAGGCTCCCCGACCCCATTACCTCCATTCTCACCCCACCAGGCTCCGTGAACCCATCACCCCCATCCTCACCCCCACCAGGCTCCGTGACCCCATCACCCCATCCTCACCCCCACCAGGCTCCGTGACCCCATCACCCCCATCCTCACCCCACCAGGCTCCGTGACCCCATCACCCCCATCCTCACCCCCACCAGGCTCCCCCACCCCATCAGACCCATCCCACCCCCACCAGGCTCCCCGACCCCATCACTCCCATCCTCACCCCCACCAGGCTCCATGACACTATCACCTCCATTCTCACCTGACTCCACTGGCTTCCCATCACACAGAGGATACAGTTCAAGATCCTGGTCCTCACCTTCAAAGTCCACCATAGTCTTGCTCCCCTCTACCTCTGCGACCTCCTAACCCCCTACCATCCTGCTCGCTCCCTTCACTAAGCAGGCTCCGGCCTGCTTGACATCCCCCGCCCCGCCTCGCTTGCCCCACTATTGGCAGGCAGGCCTTCTGCCCCCACCCTCTGGAATGCCATCCTGCAGCCCCTCCGCCTCGCCCCCTCCCTCGTCTCTTTCAAGACCCATCTAAAGATCCTCCTCTTCGACTGTGCTTTCAATCTCCCTGCTTCCCCCACCGCCTTCCATCCACCCCGACCCTCAGCTCGGGTCCGTAACTCTGTCTGTCCAGCGCCTTGGGACGACCTCCCGATGTGAAAGACGCTTTACAAATATAATTTTGTTGTTGCTTGTCTCTCGTCCTTTCCGCTGCACCATCGGCGGCCGTGCTTTCAGCCACTATGCTCCGAGACTCTGGAACTGTCTCCCTCAACCCCTCCACCTTGCCCCCTCCTTCCCCATTTTCAGATCGCGCCTGAAGACCTTGCTCTTCGACCGGGCCTCCGCTCACCTCCTCCCTCCCCACGGCTCGCCACTGTTAAACGCTACCCTGTGTGAATGTCGCTGTGTAAATGCAAGTTGTTGTTGTTGTCCTCTCTCCGTCTATTAGTCTGCCAATTAATCCCTCTGTCTGTCTCTGTCTATTTGTGTCTGTGTGTATCTGTGTGTGTCTGTGTATCTGTTGTTCACCTCCAAAATACAGTTGCTGCACTTAACAGTAAATCCAGTGAATTTCTGAGATGTCCTCCCAGCGTGAAAGTCCATGTATCAAATGTAAGAATTATTATAATTGTGTATCTGTGTCTGTGTGTGTGGTTCTGTCTGTCTGTGTCTGATTCTGTATTTTTCTCTTAAGTGTGTAAACATTGCTCTCTATCCTTCTCTCTGTCTGTCTGTATTTCTCTCAGTGACTATCTATTATTATTATCTGCCTTATCTTTAACTGTGTTAAAGTCACAGAATTCTGTGTTTTGAAGTGCAAAATGTGAGTGTAGAGCCAAGACAGAGAGAGTCACAGAGAACCAAGACAGAGAGAGCAGAGAGCGGATTGAGTGAGAGAGAGAGAGCAAAGAGAGTGCGAGAGAGTGAAGAGAGAGAGAGCGAGGAGAGAGAGAGAGAGAGAGAGAGCGAGGAGAGAGTGGAGCGTGAGAAAGAGCGAAGAGAGAAAGAGAGTGAAGAGAGGGAGCGAAGAGAGTGGGGAGAGAGCAAAGAGTGAGAGAGAGCAGAGAACGGAGAGAGATAGAGAGAGTGCGAAGAGAGAGAGCACGAAGAGAGCGTGGAGAAAAAGAGCGGAGAGAGAATGAAGAGAGAGCGAAGATAGAGAGCGAAGAGACAGCGGAGAGAGTTTGAAGAGAGAGCAGAGAGAGAAAGCGAAGAGAAAGCGAAGAGAGTGCGGAGAGAGAGTGCAAAGAAAGAGAGCGGAAAGTGAGAGCGCGAAGAGAGAGAGGTAAAGAGAGCAATGAGAGAGAGAGAGCGCGAAGAGAGAGCACGGAGAGCGAAAAGAGAAAGAGAGAGAATATGAAGAGAGCATAGCGTGAGAGAGAAAGCAAAGAGAGAGTGCGGAGAGCGCAGAGAGAGAGAGAGATTGTGAAGAGAGCAGAGGGAGTGAAGAGAGAGAGGAGAGCGGAGAGAGAGAGAGAGAGAGAGAGAGAGAGAAAAATAAGGAGGAAATAAAGAAAAAAAGTGAGAGATGCCAGGAGATTCCAGGACTCGGTTCAAAAGTTAAAGGTTCCCAGCTGTCTGCTGACGGGGAATAACTGGCATACGCAAACACGCTGGAGCTTGCTCACTGAGAGCTTCCAACATTGTTTTTACATTACATATCCCCCCCCCAACCAACCATTAAACCGACAAACCAGAGCTCAGCCACATCGCCAACACCGCTGACTGACTGACGCGACTGAGAAACGCAATCGCCTGACGATACAGCCCGATTTTCTCTCTTGGGCTCAGTCTCTCACCCTCACCTCTGGGATGAAAAACAAATTGAAAACAAATCAAAGGAGCAACACCCGAGGGCAGTTTTCCTTACTCCGCACATCTCTCTTCACTGACCAACTGTTCATTGATTGGCGAATCTCTTTCCAGAGATAATATTCCCTCTTCCCACCCCCCCCCCCCACCCACCACCAAACAAATGTGGTCACTCAATCCACGACTGTTTGTGGGACACTGCTGTGCGCAATTGGCCGCCGCGTTTCGCCCATAAAATACACAGTCGCTTCACTTTACAGTATATTCAGTGAAGCGCTTTGAGAAGTCTCCATCGATGTGATAAGGCGCTACATCAAACGCAAGGATTATCATCAGGAGATCGTGGGTTCGAAGCTCCACTTCAGGGACTCGAAAGAGGCTCGACTGACACTGATTTTATCTGGGGGATTGTCGGTCAGGATACCGGGGGGAGAGAGAGAGAGAGAGTGAAACGCCCTTCTCTTTCCCCTGGGAAAGATTTAAGATTATCACAAAAATAATTAAAGGGGAGGTTAGGTCTCCTTATCCCCTCTGTGCAAAGACCGGTTATCTGACGCTCCCCTTTACAACAAGATTCAACAACAACAAGATTCCATTTATAAAGCGCCTTTCACGTCAGGAGGACGTCCCAAGGCGCTGCACAGTTGGGTCATGACCCGAGCAGGGGGGAAATGGTCAGGGTGAGGGGAGGGAAGGGAGGGAGCGAGGAGGGGGGAAATGGTCAGGGTGAGGGGAGGGAAGGGAGGGAGCGAGGAGGGGGGAAATGGTCAGGGTGAGGGGAGGGAAGGGAGGGAGCGAGGAGGGGGGAGAGAGTCGAGAGGGGAGCTGAAGGCACGGTCAAACTTTAATTCCTTTTTGTGATTATCTTAAACTTATTATAATAATAATAATAATCTTTGCATTTGTCATAGCGCCTTATCATGTCTTTGAGGCTGTAAAGTGAAATGACTGTATGTTTTGTGCGCGCACAGGAGTCTCCCACAAACAGTCGTGGATTGAGTGACCGCATTTTTAATCTTTTTTATTCTTTTTTTTGGAGGGGGTATAATCCCTGGAAAAGCGATCCGCCAATCGACTAACAGCCGGGTTCGTACTTACTGCCGGGTAAACAGAGACACGTGGAGTAAGGAATACACTTGCCCAATGTTTCGCGCTGCCCGGGGAACCGAACCCAGGTCCTCTTACTTGCGAGGCGACTGACTTGTTACTGACTCCGACGACCTTGATCAGGTGCCGCTTAACCCTTTCTGCTTCAGTGAAATTTAACCCTCCCAGTCTCATCCCGTTCCCCCTCTCGCTCCCCCTCTTCCAGCCTTTATCCAGTTCCCATCTAAAAGAATCTATGGAATGTGTCTGATATGTCAATGGTGACTCCTTCTGTTCCTGTTTGCAAAACCCATTTTAAAAGCTCTTTCTCTGATCATAGCTGTTGGCCATAACCCTTAAATTCTCCTTCCCCTCCTCACCGCTCGGTGCTCCTTATCGTGGCTGTGAGAGCGCTCACTGTGAGAGGCGCTGTGTGAGAAGCAGCTGTTTCACTGCGCTGTGACCGGTACAGGTATGTGGTGACGGTGGTGCAGTGGTGCCGAGGAGTGAGTGAAGAGTCTCGGGAGACAAGCACCGGGAATATTGATGAACCACAGCTCGGAGAGCACGGCAACTGGTAAGTGGTCTGTCCGCTAAACCTTTGGTTAAACGAGCAATCTCCTATACGATGGGGGGAGAGCAGGGAATGGGGTTAGAGTACAGAGCTCCAGTGGGGCAGTGAGCACCAGCGCAGACATTATGGACATTTCCAGTGTTATAAACAGTCAATGAATTTTCAAACAGATGGTAGCAAGATGCCCTTTAGGATGTGAGTTCTCTCTCCAGTTGCTGTTGACATGAATCTTTCTCTCAGGTCTGTTCTCGCGGAACTTCAGAAGATCCAGCGATTTAACTGTATCCTTACAGTGTATTCACGTCAACTTTGCTGACTGGGAGTGTCACGACAAACTGCTGGGAGCCTGAGGGGAGAGGTGAACTTGGCTAAGTCTGGAGTCCTGTAGCTTAGTGGTTAGAGCGCTCACCTCGCAAGTGAGGTTCGATTCGATTCCCGGGCAGGGTGAGACATTGGGCAAGTTTCCTTACTCCACACGCCACTGTTTACCAGCAGTAAGTAGGAACCCAGCGGTCAGTCAAATGGCACATCACTTTTCCGGGGCTATTAATCCCTTCAAAAAACATTGAGAGTTGTGAGAAATTGTGGCTGATCTCACCTTTGATACCTGACAGGCAGGTGGGGGGGGGGCTCGAACCTTCTGACCAGAGGAGAGATGTGTAGATGAGGAAGAGAGGCTGAGGATTGATGTACTCCGCAGATAACAGAGAGCAGACAGCAGAGGTGGTGGGTCAAGTAGGACTGGGACCAGGAGAGGTGGGTGAGGGAGGAGAGGCAGGTAGAATGGTCCACAGTATTAAAAGTAGCAGAGAGGACAAGGAGACAGAGGGAGCTCTGGTCCCAGAGAGAGAACAACACATTATATTTACACAGCGCTTTCACAGCGGGAGGATGTCCCAAGGCGCTGGACAGTCGTGGGGACCCGTGCAGGGGGTTGGGAGGGCAGGGGTAGGAGGGTGACCAAAGGTGGAGTCGAAGAGGAGGATCTTGAGACAGGCGTTGAAGGAGGCGAGGGAGGGAGGGAGCGAGGCAGAGGAACTGGGGGAGTTCCAAAGGGTGGGGGCAGAGGTAACGGTCAAGGGTTGTCTCAGTGCTGTGAGCAAGGTGGGAACCCAGGTGAAGGGGCTTGAGCAGAGAGAAGTGGGGGGCAAGTGAACGGGGAAGGGGCAGTGGGATAGGCGTGTTTGTGTGTGGGGGCCGGGTGGGGGGATGGGGGGGGTGAGAGGATGGAGTGAGGGCAAGAGGAGGATCCAACCAGGTGGATTCGGACACTTCGCAAGGAAGCCCTGGGATTTGGTGTGTGTGTATGCGTGGATTTTCTTTGACCCCTGACCCCCGCAGTCCTCCTGGAGAACTCCAACTGTACGAAGAGAGATGCCCCGGACCCAGCCCAGGCCCCTGCCAGCCCGCCGGGGCCACCTCGTGGAGGGGCAGACATTGGGGCTGTGCTGCGGAGGACCTCCCAAGCCATCCAGGACATCGAGGTCCTGCTGAGGGGCAAGGACAGAGCCGGCAGCCCCGGGAGTTAGCCCTCACGGGTGGGGAGGGCGTGTGTGAGGGTGGGGGTGTGTGTGAGGGTGGGATCCCACACCTGGCCAGGAGGGGGCGCTCTTCCCAGGTTGGCTTTGGTGGCAGGTGTTGGGAGGTGGTCTCGTGGTCTCACTCCCATTAGTGACAGCCTCCGCTGAGCCCTGCTGCTCACACCCCAACACGGTTGTGGGTTCAAGCCCCCTCCCCACCCAGTGCTGGTGATTTGAACCTCACCATTAATCGGGTGGGGGGGGGGGGGCGGGGGGTGTCTCCAGACAGGGGTCAGGGATTACCTGCAGTGTCACTCAGGTGCTCAGACCATTTCTGCCGTTAGAGTTCAAGACAACTCTTAAAAGTGAGGAACTCCTGAACCCACTCTTTGATCCGGGAGTCGGGTTCTCTCTCTCTCTCTCTCTCTCTGGTTCTTAAAGAGAAACCGATTTCCGAATCCACAATGAATTCAAGAATTTTTCACGATCCGCTCCACCTGACAATCCAAAGCAAAACAATCTTAAAGCCGAGAATCTGGTGAATTTCAGGCCTTGGGGACGGTAGCCCCCCCCCCCCCCCCCCCCGCACTCAAGCTCACTGACTTGGTCTGTGGGAGCCTTATATGCAACCAGGTAGCTCAGCGCAAGCTGAGGATGTCAGCCTGAGCGATCAGGCTGTGTAGAGCCTGAACGGGGGGGGGGAGAGGGAGTTTTTGTTCCCCATCCGGGTGTCTGACCCACATGGAAACCCATCACCGTTGCTTCAGAGTCTCCAAACCAATTCCATGTATCCCACCTACACATGGAAATCCCAGAGATAGATTGTTGGAATGAGATGAGCTCTCTCTCTCTCCACAGAGGGAGGCCTCCTGTTTATTTAATTCCGGAGAGTATTAGGCGCAGGTTGTCAAGAGCCAAGGCCTGGGGGGGCCCAGAGTGTGTGTTGGGGTAACTGCTGGAGTGTAACCCACTAAACCCACACAGCTCGGCCATTGAGATCACTGTCTGGCAGCTTCCCCGCTGCTTGACCAGCGAGGACCACCCTCCCCGTTAGTTAGGGCTTTGGCTGCGGGGGTAACGGGAGCTGAGGGGGAGGATTCCCAGCCCCCGGTGACTGGTCGGCCCTTCACGTCACAGACCATCACAGGGGGGGCCTGATTCTGATTGCCAGACATGTCACCTTTAGAGGGAGTTGGGGGAAAAGTGAATTTTATCTGAGCAGCAATTTTTTTGCGATTTATTCTGTGGCGTTTTCCCCGCTAATAAAATGCGCAGGTGAAACTCTGGTCTGGTTCAGAGCCTCTTGAGTGACGGTGATGGCTTTCTGGGTCAATAACGAGAAACAAATATCGCACTTAATAATGAGAAATATTTGTGTAAATATTGTGTAAATAAACATTGTAAAGCTTTGACCTTGTTTGACCGTTGAATTGACTACTTTTACTGGGTTCCTTGGTCAGCGTCCGTTGCTTTAGGTCCCCCGCCTCGCCCGGCCCACCATTGGCAGACAAGCCTTCAGCCACTCTGCCCCCACTCTTTGAGACATCGCGAAGATGTGATAAGACGCTGTTTCAAATGCAAGGAAAGATATTAATTCTGGAAAATCAATCTGCTAATCAACTAACAGCGTGGGTCCTACTTACTGCTAAGTAAACAGAGGTGTGTGGAGTAAGGAAACTTGCCCAATGTTTCTCCCTGCCCGGGAATTGAACCCGGGTCCTTTCGTTTACGAGCGCTCTAACCACTAAGCTACAGGACTACTACAAGCTGTGAGATGGATTCTATCTGAGGGATTGCTGGCCAGGACACCACCAGGGGAATTGCCCATCTCTTTAAATACCCCATGAAATCTTTAACGTCCCCTGAACAGGCACCGAATGCGCTACCCCCTGCCTTCGCTCAGCTGGTTTGGGTCTCCAGCACATCCCTCATCTCCTGTGCTCCACCATCGGCGGTCGTGCTTTCAGCCACTACACCTGAATCCCTGGAACTCCTTGCCTTCATCCCTGCGTATCGGCTCTTCAAATCATCACACCTGAGGACCTTCCTCTTTGACCATTCCTTCGGTCCCCTCCCGCCTTTCCAACTTGGCCCCAAACCACACCACTGTCAAGTGGTCCGAGACACTACCCAACTGAAGGGTGATAAATGCAAGTTGTTCTTGCTGCAAAGTCTGTTAAAAAATAGCTTGAATAGTACAGTTGAAATTGACAGTCAGAGCTCGACAGGAAATGGAAGGAGAACGAAACAGGAAACGACCAAAATATCCCGGCCTCGCATTCAGCAGTGCAGAGAGAAAAATGCATTCCAGATGGCGAAAGGCAGTGTATTGTCACGCAAACCTGCTCTGCTGGACCCAAACCAAGGGCATGTCTCTTAATATTGGAGCAAAGCTGGTTAGAAGCCACATTTGTGGTCAGCCAACTGGTCTGACACGTGGAAACCTCGCGCCACGCTTAACAGTCTCTTAGACTGTGAGTTCTACATATGTACGTCACCTACACATGGACATTTCCCTGTGTCTGATCCGCACTGTGGACTCGCCCTCTTTCGCTCTCTCCCTTGGATGGACACTCCTTGTTTACCTAATTCCGGAGAATATTAGGCACAGGTTGGCAAGATCCAAGACTTGGGGATCCCCCAGTGTGTGTTGGGGTAACTGCTGGAGTCTAACCCGTTAAACCCACACAGCTCGGCCATTTAGAGCACTGTGTGCAAGCTTTCCCGCTGCTTGTCCAGCGAGGACCACCCTCCCTGTTAATTAGGGCTTTGGCTGTAGGGTTAACAGGAGCTGAAGGGGAGGATTCCCGGCCCCCAGTGACTGGTCGGCCCTTCCAGGTCCTGCCCATGAGCCGGGCCGGGCTGTGCTGTGCTGCCATCAGCAGTGAGAGCCCTGGGATACTGTGGACTCTCCTGGCTCAGGAACCAGACTAGAGACCAGATTCAATTCCGAGTGTGTCATCAACTCAATTCCAAGTAGACCTGCTTACCTCCCGCTCATGGAGGAGAGTCATAACTTGGTTATTGGGTGAGTGGTTGCACTCCATTCCAGGTTTTCGGAAACCATGTTAACCTCTCAGTGATCCGGTTTGGAGAACCTTAAGCATAGCGATGCGTTTCCCCGTGGGTCAGACACACCGTCTGAGTTGCTTGTGTGACCTGAACGCTGAGGTCGGAGACTGATAGTTCCTTTGGCTTTGCTTTGCGTCATCTGGGATTGATTAAGGTTCCAACGCGGAGTGAATATTTCCATATGAACCGGGCGTCCTGTTTGTTTTCCTTCAAAGCAGACAATCCCTTTGATGGTATAAATAGCTCAGCGAGACCGTTACAGATGGAAATAAAAGCTGAGTATCTCACAGACTCGACTCGCAGTCCAGGCTGACGCTCTGGCGCAATGCGGGGCGAGGGAGAGTGGGTGGTTGGGGGAGGAGGGGGGTGTGGGGCGGGGGGGGTATTGTCGGAGGCACCACATTTCAGGTGTAATGTTAAAACCAAGTTCCATCTGTGCCTTTTCAATCAGATGTTAAAAATCCTGAGGTGCTGTTTTCTCTCTCCCTGGACAACAATTCCCAAGATAAATTAGTCGTTCACCTCAAGGCTTTGCTGCGAGCAACGCTGCCTTGCTTCACGACAAAAACAGTCACTACACGTGATAGCAACTCGCTCTGAGGCACTTTGAGGCTGTTCATCGGTGGCCAAGCAAATAACAAGAATAATCCTTGCATTTGATATAGCGCTTTATCATGTCATCAAGACGTCTCAAAGCGCTTCACAGGATATACTGTAAAGTGGAGTGACTGTGTATTTTGTGGGTGAAAACCAGTAGCCAGTTGCGCGCAGCAAGTGTCCCGCAAACAGTTGTGGATTGAGTGACCACACTTTATCTGAAGGATTGTGGCCAGGACACGGAAGAAACTCCCTTCTCTTTTTGAATCGCTCAATGGGGTCTTTAACATCCGCTTGAACTGGCAGATGGGACCTCGGTTTAACGTCTCATCTGAAGGACGGCTCCTCCGTCAATGCCACCCCCACCCCCCACCCCCCACCCCCACAGCGCTACCTTGGAGCATCAGCTTAGACTATGTGATTCCAAGTCCCGATATGGGGCCAATCTGACTCACAAACAGTGTATGAATTGGTTCACGGAGTGACCTCGCAGCACTGGAGCTCAAAGCCCCCTGATACGGGCTCGAGCACTCAACCTCCTGACCCAGAGGTGAGAGTGTGGGTGACTGAGCCGCCTCCGCCTGCAAAGGAGGGGGAGAAAGTTAGAAGGGAAACGAGAATCTTGTTTTGGTTTGAACACTTGACGAGAGGTATATGTGCTGAGTGTGAAGGTTGAGGGTTGAGGGCAGGTGGTTGACACGGAGTGAGAGAGGTTGGAGTCTCCGACTGTGTAAAGGTGAGAGACTAAGTCTCTCATCTACAGTTACCTCAACCTCCATCCTACCATCTGCCCCCGAGAGGCATTACCCTCACCCCAAACCTCCACCACACACACAGGCACTCACACACACACATAGACATAGCAAGAGAGACACACACACAGACAGATAGAGACACACACACACACACACACAGATACAGACACACACATAGAGAGAGAGACACACACACACAGATATAGACACACACAGATAGAGACACACATGTAGAGAGACACACACAGATATAGACACACACAGATAGAAACACACATGTAGAGAGACACACACAGAGATTTAGACACATGTAGAGAGAGACATACACAGATATAGACACCCACATAGACACACACACAGACATGGAGCATACACGCAGCCATATGGACACACACGGAGACATTCGTAGAGATATGGACACACCAACATACAAATACAAACACACAGAGACATAGACACACAGACAGACACGTATGTACAAACACATACAGAGAGACACAGACACACAGACAGAGAAATGTAGTCAGAGACACACACACACAGAGAAACATAGACACTGACCACAGACAGACATAAACACACAGAGAGACACAGACACACAGACAGAGAAACGTAGTCAGAGACACACACACAGAGAGAAACATAGACACTGACCACAGACAGACATAAACACAGAGAGAGACACAGACAGACACACAGACACACAGAGAGTCATAAACACATACACAGACATCGAGGAAAAAGTTTTCTCCGACAGTAACAGTCAGTCGTTCGGTACTTACCGACCAGTGGCTGAGCTGTGGATTACGTTAGTGAGTGTCCAGGAAACTGCCGTGAGTGAGGGAGTGAGGAGAGGAGGGACAGAGGGACAGAGGGAGAGGAGGGAGGGACAGAGGGAGAGGAGGGAGGGACAGAGGGAAGGGGGGAGAGGGACAGAGGGAGAGAGGGACAGAGGGAGAGAGGGACAGAGGGATAGAGGGACAGAGGGAGAGGAGGGACAGAGGGAGAGAGGGACAGAGGGAGAGAGGGACAGAGGGAGAGGAGGGAGAGAGGGACAGAGGGATAGAGGGAAGGAGGGAGAGAGGGAGGGACAGAGGGAAGGGGGGAGAGAAGGGTCAGAGGGAGAGCAGGGACAGAGGGACGGAGGGAGAGAGGGAGAGGAGGGACAGAGGGAAGGAGTTAGAGGAGGGACAGAGGGAGAGGAGGGAAGGAGGGAGAGAGGGAGAGGAGGGACAGAGGGAGGGAGAGAGGGGGAGGGGCTGAGAGCCGAGTTGGGGACAGGCGAGAGGCAGAGGAGATGACTTGGGGGACCCTCCTGCTGCTGCTGTTGGCTTTGGGGCAGACGGGGGGCGAGAGGGAGGGGGTGAGGGAGGGGGTGAGGGTGAGGGAGGGGGAGGGGGTGAGGGTGAGGGGAGGGGGAGGGGGTGAGGGGGGGGGTGAGGGTGAGGGAGGGGGTGAGGGTGAGGGGGGTGAGGGAGGGGGTGAGGGTGAGGGAGGGGGTGAGGGTGAGGGAGGGGGAGGGGGTGAGGGAGAGGGAGGGGGTGAGGGAGGGGGAGGGGGTGAGGGAGGGGGTGAGGGAGGGGGTGAGGGAGGGGGAGCCGGGGAGGGGTATCTCTGGGTGGGGGACGGGGGGCTGGGGGGGCGGGGGGGGCAGGGCGGGCGGGGCCTGGGGGGGGCGGGGGGGGCAGGGCGGGCGGGGCCTGGGGGGGGCGGGGGGGGCAGGGCGGGCGGGGGCCTGGGGGGGTCCTGGCCGGGGCGGGGCTGGGGGGGGCGGGGGGGGCAGGGCGGGCGGGGGCCTGGGGGGGGGCGGGGGGCTGGGGGGGGGCGGGGGGGCAGGGCGGGCGGGGGGCTGGGGGGGTCCTGGCCGGGGCGGGGCTGGGGTTACTGGCCCCCTACGCGGGGCGGTACCGGTGGCTGGTGCTGTCCGCCCCCGGTCCCGAGGACCCCTCCTACCGTCTGATGGAGCAGCAACTGGACCTGGAGAGGAACAGGGAGTTGGGCTGTCAATTGGCCGAGAGGGACCTCCACCTCCTACTGCTGCTCGGGGCTGAGGGGGTCCCCGGGGGGAGCCCCGGGGGGAGCCCCGGGGGGAGCCCTGGGGGGGGGCCCGGGGGGAGCCCTGGGGGAGCCCCGGGGGGGGCTGGGTGGTGAGGGTCTCCCCCCGGGGGCTTGTGTCCGGCCGCCAGGCGGTGCCCCCCCCCGTGGTGGCCAATATGAGGCGCTATTTTGCGCTGGACGCCGGCGAGTTCGCTCTCCTGGTGTTGGGGAAGGACCTGGGCGTCCGGGAGCGCTTCCCCTACGCTGTGCGGGCGCAGGCGGCCCTGGAGGCGGTGGACGCGCTGCCCCGCATGCGGATGGAGAAAACCCGGCGTCGGGGCTTCCAGGTCCAGTGTAAGGCTCACAGGCAGCGGGCCCGCGGGCCAGGGGGGGCCGCCACCCGGGCGGCGGGCAGTGCGCAGAGGCGCAAGGCGTTTGCCAGGGCTGGGAATGGGCTCCATCACGGGGTTAGGGCTCCACATGGGGTTGGAGCTGGGAATAGGGTCGGGAGTGGGGTTGGGAGTGGGGTTGGGAGTGGGGTTGGGGCTGGGAGTGGGGTTGGGGCTGGGAGTGGGTTGGGGCTGGGAGTGGGGTTGGGGCTGGGAATAGGGTCGGGAGTGGGGTTGGGAGTGGGGTTGGGAGTGGGGTTGGGGCTGGGAGTGGGGTTGGGGTTGGGGTCGGAGCGAGAGCTGCGGTTGCGGGCAGAGGGTCTGGGCGGCGAGGGGAGACCTCACTGTTGGAGAGGGTCAGGCAGAGGGTGAGCCAGATGTTGGCCTCCAAGAGGGAGAGACCTTCCCATCGCCGCCCGCACCCACCCACCCTTCCTCGGCTACACCCCGAGCCCCCGACCAACACCGCCCGGGACCCCAGCGATCGGACCCCCAGACAAGGCGACACCAGCTCAGCAGCCCCCGGGGAGCGGGAGAGGGGTTTGGGGACATCCAGGAACCCTCAGCCCAGTTTGGGGGCCGCTCAGTGGGTCAGCACCAGCGCAAAGCCCCCACCCGCCCTCTCCTCCAGCCCAACCTTGGGGGGTAACCCCGTCAGGCAGCCGGGGCCAGCGAGCGAGGGCGAGGGGGAGAGGCCGGGTGACCCCCCTGACCCCATCCCCAAGCCCCCCCAAGCCAAGGGCGGCCAGAGAGACCGCAACTCCACCAGGGGGGGCAAACGCGGAGGCAGGAAGCGCAAGCGGGGGCAAAAGAGGAACCGAAAGGACAGGAGGAAGAAAGAGAAGCGGAGAGGCGACCCCCCCGGCCCCCCACCCAGCCAGGACCTGCAGGGGTTTCTGAGACACTTTCAGAACAAGAGGCGATTGCTAGTAAGTGTGACTCCACCCCCCCCACCCCCATTGCTCCCTCCCCCCCTCCCCACTGCCCCCCCACACTGCCCTCTCCCCACACTGCCCTCTCCCCCCACACTACCCCCCCACCACTGCCCCCTCTCCTGCTCAGGACTTGGTGTAGAACCAAAGGAAGACCTGCTTTTAACACCCCCAAAATCCCCCCCCCCACCCACTGGAGCTCTCTCTATACTCTAACCCCATTCCCTGCTCTCCCCCCCCACCCCCCACCCCCCATCTGTATTTAGATGCCCAGAGGATGCGTGTGTGTGTGTGTGTGTGTGTGAGTGAGTGACTGTGTGTCTGTGAGTCAGTGTGTGTGTGTGAGTGACTGTGTGTGTCAGTGTGTGTATGTGTGTGACTGACTGTGTGTGTGTGTGTGACTGTGTGTGTGTGTGACTGTGTGTGTGTGTGTGTGACTGTGTGTGTGTGTGTGAGTCAGTGTGTGTCTGTCTGTGTGTGAGTGAACGCCATAATTTTCGTGACATCTTCCTTAACCTGGATGGAGTCAGCGAGGAGGCAGTGTATCCTGCGAAGCGCTTTGAGACGTCTCGAAGACGTGATGAGGGGCTGTGTCGAATGCAAAGGATTATTATTGTCATTGTGTTGTTGGTGACACTGCCGTCCGCCTGTGTTCGTGCAGATTATCACGGCACCGGGCAGGGAGACAGAGCACCATGTCCGGCAGAGAGACCTGTACCTGGAGCACGTGTGTGAGCTGGCCTTGCGCAAGGTCAGTGTGGTGTCCATCCTGGGCTCCATCTCCAACAGCAACCTCAGCGTGGAGACCTACCAGCTCGGTGAGTGCGGACCCCGGCCAGCGGCAGCTGCGAAGTGGGCGTGTGGGGGTGGGGGGGGCTCAATCTCCCAGATATAATCGCTCGCTCACTTCACGACTGTGTGTGAGCCGTCACCTCCCTGCACATTGGCTGCCGTGTTCTCCTCCAAAATACACAGTCATTATATTATTCCTGGCATTCGACACAACCCGTCGTAATGTCGTTGATATGGAGCATTATGGCGTCTCGTAGAGCTGCGCACAATATAGCGTAAGGCGGAGTGACTGTGCTCTTCGTGGGCGAAACACGGCGGCCAATTGCGCACGTCGGTGTCCCACAAACAGTCCTCTTGGTTGTGAGGCGAGTGATCTGACCGCTACAGCACAGGACTCCACGAGCCCCCAGATACAATCGCTTGCTCACTTCACGACTGTTAGTGAGACGCCGTTGTGCGCAAAACGCCTGCTGCGTTTGCTGACGGAAGTCCCTACGCTTTGCATTCGTGTCACCAGAGCCTTGGGGCGTCTTTCCGACGTGAAGGGCCCCACACAAGCGTAATTTGTTGTCGTTGCTGACCTGAAGGGGTGCTTCGTGATTGCAATTTGTTGGCGTTTGTGGCGACAGCCCGGCTCAGTCGCTCACACTCTCGCCTCTCAGTGAGGAGGTTTGTGGGTTCGAGCCCAACACGTCGGGGGCTCTGAGCTCACGGTCCAGGCTGATGCTCCATTGCTGCGCTGGGGTGGGGGGAGAGAGAGAGAGAGAGAGAGACGCATTGTCAGAGACGCCGTCCTTCAGATGAGACGTTAAACCTCACTCCCCGTCTGCGCCCTGTTCAGGCGGACGTTAAAGATGCCGCGGGGCTGTGGGGAATATTGCCCATCCACTTCATGGCTGTTTGTGGGACATTGCTGATCTGCTGCCGCATCAGGAGGACATCTCAGAAGTGCTCCACGTTTACCACAAAGTGTAGTGACTGTGTGTTTTTATAGGTGAATGTGGCAGCCAATTTGCACTTAGCCAAGTCCTACAAACAGCCATAAAGTGAGTGACGGGTTTTACTTGGGGAATTGTCGGGCAGAAAACCAGGAGAGAGAGAGAGAGAGAGAGGAACTCCCTTCTGTTTTTGAACAGCGCTGTGGGATCTTTAACGTCCACCTGAACAGGGCACAGACGGACTAACGTCTCATCTGAAGGATGGCGGCTCTGATAATGCAGTGCTCTCTGTTCCCCCGGCTCTGCACTGGGTTGTCAGTCCAGACACTGAGTCCCGTCATGGGGCTTGAACCCACAAACTTCTGACTCAGAGGTGAGCGTGGTACGGACTGTCACGCTCGACAGCTAATCCTGAGAAGCGCTTTGAGACATGGTGACGTGAAAGCCGCGGTGTTAAGGGCAGGAGAGGTCGATGGTGTCTGTGAACCGAGGGGCAAGGAGGTGGAGCTGGGCAGTAAGGAGAGGGGTAGGGCTGGGGATCGAGGGTGGGTTTCACGGTGGGTCCACAAAATACACAGTCACAACACTTTACAGTGTAACCTGTGAAGCGCTTTGGGACGTCTCGAAGACGTGATCGGGCGCTGTGTCAAATGCGAGGATTGTCATTATTGTTATCAAGTGAGAAGTGCGTAGCTGTGGAGGTTTGGCTGCTCTTCGCCCGATGCACAGACGAAGACGTCAATTTAAGGAATGTTGCTCACGTGCAAAGAGGACGTGACCCCCTGATCTTTGCCACCGGCCTCCTGTCAATCACAGAGCCACAAATCAAGGGCGATTGATGGACGGACGTCATCCGTGCATTCCCGGCTCTAACCCCGGGGGACATCTCCCTGGCCCTCGTCAGGACTGTTTACGTGCCTGGGAATGCTCAACGCACCTGCCAGGGTGATGCTGGGTGGTGAGGTGACTGTTTTTAAGGCAGACGGATGCGGCATCTTATTTTGCACGGAGCGAAGCTCCACCCACACGCACCTTCATACAGCTGTGAGGTGAACGAGCGATTAATCCAGAAGATTGTCGGCCAGGACACCGGGAGAGAGAGAGAGAGAGAGAGAGAAACCCCCTTCTCTTTTCCCGACAGAGCCGCGGGATCTTTAAAGTCCACCTGAACAGGGCGCGGACGGGGAGTGAGGTTTAACGTCTCATCTGAAGGACGGCGTCTCTGGGAATGCAGCGTCAAATCGGACATTAAAGATCTCCTGCAGCGCTATTCTCTCTTTCTGTTGCCCAGTGTCCCGGCCAACAATCTCCTCCCCCCCCCACCCCACCCCACCAACACCCCCACCTCGATTGATTGCTCGCTCACCTGAATCCTGATCTCAGTCTCTCAGATCCTCAGTGAGTTACGGAAAGTTAATGGAAAGTTATTCCATTCATCAAAAGATTATTCATTAGGAAATCGTAGAGAGTTCCTGCTCCTACTCTCCTACAGCACCCTCTAATGGTTATGTACGTGTGTGTGTGTGTGTAGGTGTGTGTCAGCCAGGTGGAGAGAGGTCAGACTTGGCTGTGATACCCTCTACAGTTGACTGACCTGATAGACCAGGGGCAGAGAGGCCAGACCATAGGAACAGGAAGAGGCCATTCAGCCCCTCAAGCCTGTTCTGCCATTCTATAAGATCATGGCCGATCAACTCCAATTACGCGCCTTTTCCCCATATCCCTGGATCCTCTGACCTACCAAACATCTCACCACCTCAGTCTGGACAACATGAATGGATCCAGACATAATCCACAGCCTTTTAGTGGAGAGAGAGATAGAGTTCCAGATTCCCCGCTCGCCTGGTTCCGCCCTCCCTCGTTCCCTCCAATCCACCATTGGTGGCAGTGCCTTCAGTCACTACACCCCAAAACTCTGGAACTCCCTCCCTCAATCCCTCCGCCTCGACCTCACCCTCTCCCTCCCCAATTTGAAATCCCGCCTAAAAATCTTCCCCATACCTCTCCCCCTTGGCCTGGTGTCAGATTCCGTCACTGTCAAGTGCTCTGGGACGCTATATGTGAAGGGCGCTGTATAAATACAAGTTGTTGTTGTTGTTGTTGTGATTTCTGCTGGTCTCAAATTCAAGATCCTCGTCCTCACTTTCAGGGCCATCCATGGCCTTGCCCCCTCCTACCTCTCTGACCTACCAACCTGCCCGCTCCCTCCGTTCAGTGGGCTCCGGCTGCTCCATGTCTCCCGCCCGACCCGCCCTACCATCGGTGGCCGGGCTTTCAGCCTCTCTGCTCCCACACTCTGGAACTCCATCCCACGGCCCCTTCGCCTCACTTCCTCCCTCGCCTCCTTCAAGGCCGGTCTCAAGACCCTTCTCTTCGACCGTGCCTTTGTTCGCCCTCCCATCTCTCTGCCTTCCCTCACCCATACCCCATGCTCGGGCCCTGACCCCTGACTGTCCAGTGCTTTGGGATGTCCTCCCGACGTGAAAGGCGCTCTATAAATATAATTTTGTTGTTGTTGTCTCTCTGTAGAGAAGGAGGCGCCCTTCAGGTCTGTGTCTACCGACTCGCTGAGCCCCGCCCTCCCCGCACAGCTCCGAGAACACTACGGCATGACGTTTAACGAGTTCTTTATGGTCCTAACAGACTATGATATGAAAATCAAGGTGAGAGGTTAGCTGAGCCACGAGAGATTCTCTCCATATCCCGTTCAGCACTTTCCAACGCTCTCCCACTTCCCCTCCACCATCCTCTCTCTTCCCGCACACCCTCTCCCCCTAGCCCCCCTCTCATCCCATTCCCTGCTCTCTCTCTCCTACCCCTCTCCTTGTTCCTCTATAACCCCATTCCCTGCTGCTGATGAAAGGCCCACTCGTCCTCGTCGGGAGAGGAGACTATTAACAGCCGTCGTTTCCACTGTAACCTTAAAGCACAGAGTCACTGCGGGCGCCATGTGGGACATCTCACATCTCACTGCCTCGTAGCTACATGACTCCCACTGCCTTGTGACACTGAACCCCTCCCCTCCCACCCAGGAACCCACGAATTCCGCCTCGCCTCAGCCTGCAATACCTTTTTCATCAGCAAACGTAAGATGGAAACTGGTGCAGATCTGGGGAAAGCGTGTTGCCATCGTGATATTATTTAGATTATTAATTACACCTTAAACTTAGGAATCAAAGGCCTCTCGGACTGAGTGGAATTTGGGGAAAAATTGGGGAGAAGTTTGCATCTTTTTTAGCAATTTCTCGTAGCAAAACTCTGCACAAATAATAACAGAGGAGTGTAGTGACTGGGTTTGAGAACCCCCAAATCAAGCGATCTGGGGGATTGTTGGCCAGGAAACCGGAAGAGGGAGAGAGAGAGAGAGAGGGGGAGAGAAACCGCCTTCTCTTTTCCTGATAGGAGAAGGGAGGGCTGGGGGAGTGTTTGGGGGTAATGGCCGTCTGCATTGGCACACGGGAACTCAGTTGGACAATCAGGGAATTGGACCCAAATTGGGGTTGAGATCAGGAGGGGTGGGGGGGGGACAGGGAGGGTAGGGTGAGAAAGCGCAGTACAAGAGGAGGGTCTTGAGACGGGCCTTGAAGGAGGCGAAGGAGGGAGCGAGGTGAAGGGACTGTGGGATGGAGTTCCAAAGGGTGGGGGCAGAGAGGCTGAAGGCCCGACCACCGATGGTGGTGGGGAGCCGGGCGGGGAAACTTGCCAAAGGTTTTGCCCTGCCCGGGAATCAAACCCAGGTCGTCTGGCTAGCGAGGCGAGCGCTCAATCCACTACACGCCAGGACTCCAGTGTAGTGCACGGGGTCGGGAAGGAGAGAGTGACACGTACCTGGAGAGCAGAGCGTTGATGTTTGTGGGGCTGTCCTGCTTGGTGCAGGTCACACCTCTCCTCCTCTCCTCCTCAATCTCCAGCTGCCGGGAGGGGAACGTGTCCATGTACTCCACCAGCACCTCCACCGGGATCGGCACGTCAAAGTATTGCTGGGCCGCGGAGACAGAGGGGAAGGTTAGAGGCTTCACAAGCTCGCACTTGAAGAAGATCTTTCAGCCCAATTGATCTTCTCCTTCCTCGACCACCTACTCCTCAACCGTCCTCCCATCACAACAACAACTACAACTCGCAGTAAAGAGCTCCAGTGGGGGAGCGAGCCCCAGCACAGACACGATGGAAAGAGAGAGAGAGA